TATCTATCTATCTATCTATCTATCTATCTATCTATCTATCTATCTATCTATCATCTATCATCTATCTATAGCTACATCTATCTATCTTATCATTTATCATGTGTGCATATATCTATCTATCTAATAATTTATTATCTACCATCTAGATATATCTATTTCTATCTATCTATCTATCTATCTATCTATCTATCTATCTATCTACTGTCTATCTATCTATCTATCATGTATTTATCATCTACAATATCATAGCACTATGCAAAGATCACAGGATATTTATCATACTCTTTACTATTTATTATTGTAATAGCTATTCATTTATTTCCACTCAGAGTATTTTGAGTATGACTTATGCCAAAAAGACTGTGATGTGTATTTATAACACAGATGGAAGGAAATCCCTTGAGTTTCTTTCTGTGTAAAGGGCAGATAATTGTCTTCAGTGCTTTGTAATTGAGTCTACTTCCTTCCAGAGAGGGATTCTGTAAATAGTTCCTTAATTTATTTATGTCAATAACAATCATATAAACCACTGAGTTCGGTGACGATCTCCTTTTATTGAGTGTGTTGTATGTGTCAGTCAGTGTCCCAAACACAACACTCGCTCTTGCAGTATGTTCCTATTAGGCCCATAAGTGAGTCTCCCTAATATGGGCTATGGGCATAACGCTGGGTGCAACAATTCCAAGTTATGATTGAGTTCAACTTGTATCTGACATCAAAATCCTAGTGCTCAGGATTGAGTGCACCAAAAGCCATGCAAAACCATGTGAACTCTGCAATCTTTTTGCTTATCAAATAAGTAGATGTTCCATGTCACCAAGACTCTTTTCATTCATGGGGTTTTCAATGACCTTCCACTTAGATGGTATAGAAAAAAAATAATGATAAAAACTTCAGAATTGTGATTACCAGCAGGTTTATAAGTCAGCCTGACCACTCCCTCTCTGAGACGCTAGAATCCTGAGGGCACTGATTGGGAATGTCTCGACAACTAAGCCATCATCAGAAGTGGAAGTGGATGTATGTGAAGACTCCTTTTTTCAGCCTGCTTTAACATATTTGACGAATATATTTATATATTTTGCTATAGATAAAACTGACCCAGACCCATTGCGGTTGTTAACTTACTGTATGAAACTCTTCTGCTTTTTTTCTCAACAGTGCCCAAATTCTGAGGATATTCTCTCTCAAGACTTATTTGTTTGTTTGTTTGTTTACTCTGTGTGTTGTGCAGAGGCAAATGTGTGTATATATGCACGTGTGTGCACATGCTTGTAGATGCCAGAAGACAGTCTTTGTAGGCTTTTCCTTAGGCTCATTCCCCCCACTCCTTTTTTTTTTTTTTTTTTTTTTTTTTTTGAGAGTGTCCCCTTTTGACCAGCAACTTGACAAGTAGTCCAGGCTGACTGGGCAAGCTAGTGAACTTCAGGAATCTCCCTGTCTCTGTCATATCAGCCAAGTACAAGCCTATCCAATCACATCCTACTTTTAAAACTCCTGCTTCTGAGAGCTGAACCCAAGGTCCTCAGGCTTACAAGGCAAGCACTGCACAGACGGAACGCTCCTTTGCCTTTCACCAAGGATTTTAGCTAAAGGAGTATGGAGCTGTGCTGATATATCAAATGTTGAGAGTCAACTCAACATATCCAGAAGTTTGTGGACACAGTGTGAGTTGGTGACCCGAGATCAGCAAGGCAGAGGAAACAGAGCATGGAAGCCGAGGCACAGAAGTGGCTTGAGTCAGTTAGGTAATCTGGGGTTGCTGAGGACAGACTCTGTGCACGTGCTGATCACCTGGACACCAGACAGAGCTCTTTTTTGTGTTTAGCCTCAGCAGTAGCTGATTAATAGTCCGGACCCTCTCCTGAACAAGAGGTCACAGGAGGCGCTTACAGGAGGTGGAATTTCAGCAAGCAGTTGCTCATTCTTGTGCAGCGATCTGTTGAAGAGATTGGAATGGTTTAAACTCAGAAGGGCCAGTGTGTGCCTCCCATTTAAAGATTTTCTCAAAGAGCATGTAAAGAATTAAAACAGTACAAACTAAATGCCTTCTTACTGTCTTTGCCCAGGAACACAAGACTCTCTCTCTCTCTCTCTCTCTCTCTCTCTCTCTCTCTCTCTCTGTGTGTGTGTGTGTGTGTGTGTTTGACTACCCACACCAAAGCTTGATTATGGGACATTTGGAACCTTGTAAAATTCTATGTTCTCAAAATGGCAGAATATTTTACAACGTAAGATTGCGGCATAGCTTTTCTTTCCCAAATGTCAAGTTTTCAAGGTTTAACAAGAAAAGAATGAGCTGGCAACTGGAATCACATAGCTCTGTATTTTTCAGCTGTCTACGTGCATTTTCATATCTGCCACAAGTGTAGGTTTTATGGGATGACTAGGAGACACAAGTCCTGGAAAGAAAGAAAAAATGTG